TTTAAAGCTGAAAATGAGCAATATTGTAGAAGCGGGCAGCATTTTGACGACTCTTGACCCTCCATCGGTCCACACAACTATTCATCTGTCCAAATAGACTGTGACTGATGAGTGAATAAAATCTGGTTAGGAACCGCTACATAATGCATGGTTAGACTCACATGAACGACAGTCTGGCCCTGGCTGTTTTTACTAGATGTAAGTGAATGAAATGAAAGACGTTGTGTGCTCGACTGAAGCGACGAAAGAGACAAAAAGACACGTAAGGCCTTGTGAACGAGAGAATGGGAGGGTGATACAGTGAGAGAGGGAGGAGAGGAAGGTGTTAGGAAGGGATAAGAGAGAGATGAGAGAGGATGAGACGGAGGGGGAGGAAAGACGAGGAGGAGAACTTGGGGTTGGAGGAGACTAAACGCGAATGTGTGAAACCTGCAGACGAGATTTAAAAAGACGCAAATTACTGCTGAGACAAGCAGAAGAGAGACAGAGTGAGCCAATTGAAGAGTTTAAAGCTGAAAATGAGCAATATTGTAGAAGCGGGCAGCATTTTGACGACTCTTGACCCTCCATCGGTCCACACAACTATTCATCTGTCCAAATAGACTGTGACTGACGAGTGAATAAAATCTGGTTAGGAACCGCTACATAATGCATGGTTAGACTCACATGAACGACAGTCTGGCCCTGGCTGTTTTTACTAGATGTAAGTGAATGAAATGAAAGACGTTATGTGCTCGACTGAAGCGATTGTCTAATAATGATGGAAGTGTTTGTGTTTAGTTCTCCTCCTCTGATCTGACGTGCTGTCGCCTCGTCTACACGGAGAGTCTTTTTACTGACTGCAGAGCAGCTTTTAACTTTTAACTCGGTGGAAACCCACAGAAATTCATTTGAAAAGATTTTTTCCCCCTACAGAATCCCATACGGGACACATGCATGATCTGTTACATGCTTTTTTTTTGTTTTGATGTTGTTATGAGAGGTAGCATTTCCCATAGACATTGGCTAAGATATGATATGAGTATAAATGCAAATGAAAATATGCAAGGAAAAACTTTCTTTTATATAAATACATATACAGGCTTATACATATACAATAATATTACATATTGCATTATGTATTAGTTATGTATTGTGTATTATTAAATAAAATAGAATTAAATACATTTATTTAGGATTTTTATTAGCATTAATATAATATCATATAAAAAAATAAACCACCACCACCAACATAAAAAATAAAAGAAAACAACGAATAATGATGATGGTGATGATAATAATAATAATAATTATTATTATAATTATAATTATTATTAAACATAATAGCAAAATTAAAAATGAGAATGATAATAATAAAATGCAATTATCATTTTTTATTTATATTTTATTATGCTGTTATTTTTGGTTTATTTCTTATATTATATTAATGCTAATAAAAATATTATATGTTATTAGTTAACCTAACAGCAAAATAACAAGAACAACAACAACAATAATAATAATAATAATAATAATTATTATTATTATTTAATAATATAACTATTGCTTGCATATTCTGTAAATTATAATCAATGTGATGATAATAACAACAATAATATTATTATTATCATAATTATTAATAACAATAACAACAACAATACTAAACACTTTTTTTTTTATGTGGGGTTGGTTGGCCCTATGTTGCAGTTTCTTTGTTATACTTTTGAAAGGATGCAGTGAATGTAATTATTTTGCACCAAGCTTAGATGTTTTTATTCTTTACCTCTGCTGGCCTTTTATTTGTTGCCTGAATTCAGTATTGATACCAGAGTCTTTCTGGCATTGATCAACTGAGTTGTTTACGGTTTGTGTATAAACTCCTCTGTTACAAACACATCTGCAAAACCAATAAAGTGTACAAGCAACGTCCCCCATGACAGTGAAGAAATCTTTCAGAAGCATGTGTAAACTATCATAAGAGACCTCACATTTCTCAATGTAGGGATCAGACTACAACTTTAACTGTCCCAGCAGATGTGTTAGGCTGTCGAGGGAGCATACAAACAAGAAGTGCAGTGGTGTCTAGAGAGTCTTGTGAAAGAACTAAAGATGGTTTGTTTTGGAGTCCCTTCACAAAAAGCTGCAGTGCATCATCAAAATACCCTCAAAACATCTGCCGCCAACCATGCTGACTACACAGTACACACACTTTCAAAAAACACACACCCTGGCTCTGTTTTCTCAGAAATGTGTCAATAAATAAACATTTCCTTGCGGCACGCACAAACTTTAGTGACACAAAGATGACATTAATTAAACACACACACACACACACACACACACACAACAAGGTCTGAATTTACAAAGCTGTGCATCATGTTCTTCCTACGGAGTACGCTTGAAAAGAAACATTATGAAAATCAACTTGGCTATCTCAGAAACATCAATTTCAACTCTGCTTTATAGGAGAATAATAAAATGACCCCTCCGTTCACCTCTAAAGTCATCTTTACTGTACTGCCCAATACTTCCCTCAATAGTTCCCTCCTCATATGTACTTTATTTAAACCTGGAATTGAATGAAGTTTCCTGAGAGCGGTAATTTTATCTCTCTCTGTGCGCTAGGCATATTTGACTCGGCATCAATAATTCATGTAATCTATATACATAAACAGACAAACAAGTTTCCAAATAAAAGCCCAACAAACAGAGTTGCAGTGTGTGTGCCAGCTAGATGGTGATGTATAATCGTCTCTGTTACACACATACATTTAAACATGATGAGGCTGAAAGGCCTTTCTCATGATGCTGACAGGTGAGAGCAGAGGCCAGGCCTGCATCCGTCTGATTAACATTTAAACTGCTTTCAACATAAACAAATACACGACTGAAATCAAGCAGTACACACTTCTGCAAGAGAGAGAGAGAGAGAGAGCAATAGATAGAACAATAATGATAGAATGATAGAACGATAGATAGAACAACAAACAGACAGATAGAATGATAGAACGATAGATAGAACGATAGATAGATAGAACGATAGATAGATAGATAGATAGATAGATAGATCAACAGACAGACAGACAGATAGATAGATATATAGATCGATAGATAGAACAACAGACAGACAGACAGACAGACAGACAGATAGATAGATAGATATATAGATAGATAGATCAACAGACAGACAGATATATAGATATATAGATAGACAGACAGACAGACAGACAGACAGACAGACAGATAGACAGATAGATAGATAGATAGATAGATAGATAGATAGATAGATAGATAGATAGATAGATAGATAGATAGATAGATAGATAGATAGATAGATAGATAGATAGATAGATAGATAGATAGATAGATAGATAGATAGATAGATAGATAGATAGATAGATAGATAGATAGATAGATAGATAGATAGATAGATAGATAGATAGATAGATAGATAGATAGATAGATAGATAGATAGATAGATAGATAGATAGATAGATAGATAGATAGATAGATAGATAGATAGATAGATAGATAGATAGATAGATAGATAGATAGATAGATAGATAGATAGATAGATAGATAGATAGATAGATAGATAGATAGATAGATAGATAGATAGATAGATAGATAGATAGATAGATAGATAGATAGATAGATAGATAGATAGATAGATAGAGATATATAGATAGAACAACAGATAGACAGACAGACAGACAGACAGATAGACAGAGATATATAGATAGAATAACAGATAGATAGACAGACAGACAGACAGACAGACAGACAGACAGACAGACAGACAGACAGACAGACAGACAGACAGACAGACAGACAGACAGACAGATAGATAGATAG